CAATTAAAAGGAAAGAGAGAACTTAAGGATCAAAGATTAAAATATTCAGTGAGTAACAATAAATCTCGTAGAGGAAAACGTAGTAAAAATGCTTAAAGGCAAAGGGGTAGATAGAGTTAACAAACAGAATTGAAACTGCATGATAAATACTTACGAAAATCAACAACTGGTATCTCATCTTTCTGGAAAGTTTCTGCACTTCCAAAAAGATCTCTAACAGAGTAAGAAAACACACAGCCTGGGAAAAATATATAACTTACTGTGCCTCTGACAAAGGCATTTTATCTAGAACATATAAAGAATTAAAAAAAATCAGGCCCTCCAAATTTAAATATGCAAACCAAAGATGGGTATCTGAGATGAATATACACTTTTAAGATGAATAAATACAAATAGACAGTAAATATATGAGAAAATGTTCAACAACATTGGTCCTTTGAGCAATGCAAATTAAAACAACACTGAGATTTCATCTCACTGCAGAACATTTCTCTATCATCAAGAAGTCAGCAATCAGAAATACTGGAAAAATGTGCAGAAAATAAAGAACCCTTTTCAACTGTTGGTTGGCGTGCACGCTGGTACAACCACAATGGAAATCAGTGCGAAGTTTCTTCAACAAACTAGGATTGGAGGTCCCTTTCATCCCAGTGCTTCTCTTTTGTGTATTTTTTCCAGAAGATCTGAAAACATCATACCACAGTAATATATGTGCACCCATATTTTTAGCAGCACATTTTTCATAGCTAAATCTTGGAAACAACCCAAATGCTCATCAGCTGAGGAATGGAAAACACTATGCTTTAGACAACAAATCAAAAACAGTAACAACAAAAGCTCCAAATAATGGGTAATTTATTTATTTATTTATTTTGTGGAGCCAGGGATTGAACTCAAGCCCTTGAGCTTGCCAGGCAAGCATTTATTCAACTGAGCTATCTCCCCAGCCCTAAATGGGTAATTTAGATGCCAAGCCCAAAACTACAAACATAGGTTTCATAAAATTCTGTCCATATTATGGTTTATTTCTAGATGTCCCACAAAGCCACATCCATTCACAGGTGGGGCTTTCGGTAGGTGATTGGATTATGGAGTTATATTAGTTATCAATGAGTTAGTCCTCTAATGAGTGTGTAGCTAAAGGAAATGTTGGGACATGATGCCTGTTTGGAGAAGTTTTATGCATAGGGCCACGGATAAGAAAGGTATATCTCCTTTCCACCTCTCTTGATCTCTTCTCTTCTCTCTTCTCTTCTCTTCTCTTCTCTTCTCTTCTCTTCTCTTCTCTTCTCTTCTCTTCTCTTCTCT